TCCCTCAGTCAGCTCCTCGTCCGAACAATAAATCTGGCCGTTCGGTGGGTAATTGGGTTCACTCGGTGAGATCAATCCGATACTGTCTGCCTCGTGTCCGTCTGTCCATCCATTCGCCGCTTGCTTCTTCTCCTTTACTCCATCCTGTCGTTCTTTCCCTCATCCTCTTCTTCCCTCCGTTTCGCTGCCCCAAACCAAGTCCGCGTTTACGTGAACACCGCGGCAGGAATTCCAGCCAGCTTGTCACCGTGCTGTTCCTCGCGATTGTTTAATTATTTTTATTGCCGCAACCAGCGGGCAGCTCGAATTCAGCCTCGGCTATCAAGCGTTTCGAAGAGGCTAGAGGAGGGTTACACGGCGTGATTTAACGAGTTCCCACAGGGTGCTTTCCGACTAAACTTTCGACTCGATAACGCTGGAATATCTTCGAGGTTTTAGTTAAAGGATTATCGAAAGTCTGGAAACGTAGCTTGTTCTTGGCCGGAGATATCTGGGCTCGTTTGTTACGAAAGATCAGAGACGCGTGTACCCGTGCAAGAGGACCGGCACAATGCTAGCAAGCCGAGTCCGCTTGTTATGCGCCGCTTTCATTCGAATCGAACCGAAGATCGTGTCGTATGCAAAACGTCGAATTTCCAGGCTTCTCTCCGTTGCCCACTTGAAGGGCTCTCGCGGCCACTCGAGAGGAGTTGCAAAGACCTGCCGATCTGTGGGAGTCAGCTCGAGTCTGGCTATAAATCTGAATAATAAATGAGTCCCGACGGCCTCTAAGAAGTCTCCGACTCAGCGAGAAGACGTTCCTGAGGGTTTAAAAGATGAATTTACGAGTGTACCGTTCATGAAGTCTGGATACGAAATAAAAAAAAAAGTACCGTTCACTCTCTCGTTCCCTCTTTTCATCTTGTTTGAAGGAAAAAAAGAATAGCGATTCGATCGAGAGGAACATACCTTTTCGATTATTTTTCCATTAGAAACAATTTTTTCCAATAGAAAATAAATTCTTTATATATCTATCCTGTAGTAAAACCATGTTTCACCGTTCGAGTTTCCCATTTTACCTCTATTCTCACCACGGAATTAATGTCAACAGGCTTGTAAACTAGTGTTTCGAAGAATCCCTCGGACTACCGCGAAGCAGCGAAAGACTTTCTCCTCAAGGATTCTCGAAATTCTAAATCTATCCTGAAACACATCGCTGTCCGAAACGAGCCGACACCTGCCTTTGTTCGAATGGGCGTGGAAGGGTGTACGAATTTATTTATGCTCACGGACCTCCCTAATGAATTTTTGTGGACGGTGTGAAATTTCGTCGATTCCGTAATTGGCTCATCCATCTTCCCCGTTAAAATCGGCAAAAGTAAAAAGCCAGCCAGCCCATTATTCTCTATCATTCTTTGAACTCCCTTTGACCCTCGTAGATCGTAATTAACCCTTTGCTACAAGTGTAAAAATATTGGATTCGTCGGAGAAAAATGGCCCCGAGCAGGTGTGCAATTCAGAGAAGTTCGTCTAGTTTCTAAAACATCAGTGTCTATATTTCATGAAATTTTTATCAAAGAAGATCATTATTCTAATTTTTACCGCTTCATTGACTACGGTAACAAACCCGCTGCTGTATAATATTTTTAATCAACGAAGGTTTAACGTTTCGCCCTGGCCAGCCTACAATCTCCTAAATATTCGTCGCATGCCGATCGAGCCTCATCCCGTGCCCATTATACTTCCAAATGTCGAACGAGCCCCTGTTTTTCCATTCAACCGGCAGCGTTTCCCGGGAGAACGAAACGCGAATCGATTGAAATTCACCGATAGCCATCGATCGGTCCGCGATGAAATTCCCGCGGGGCGGAAAGTGTTCCATCGCGGCGCGTTACGTGCACGGCACATCGATCACGCTTATATGACGAGACACTGATCGAAGTACCACGCGTATCGAAGGAAAGGCGCGAAGGAAAGAAACGAGTATGCTCGATGAGCAAGGTGTATAAATATGATGAAGCTGGCGATACGGTGGGCACGGTTTGTGCCGCATCAGGCTGCTGAAGCCGAGCATCAGCGTTTACTTTTGTCTCTCGCCGACAACGGTTACCCACGTAACTCACGTCACCGGTGTGTCCGCGATTAGATCTTCACCGTTCCCTCAGCTTTTTTCTCCTCTTCCCGACCGTTTCTGTAAGTCCGGGAAACGCCGACCAGTCGTTCTCGTGTATATGCCGTGGCTGTCGTTCGTCCTTGTAGATATTCATAAACGATCGACGATCTCGTAATGCATCGACAACGAGCAGTTTATTATTCCCGGCTGCTGCTGAATTCGAGCTCGTATTTTAGAGGATGCCGGGCTTCCGTGAATGGGAATCGAATGACGCATCGACAGGGGAGGAATTATGAAGCCTGATTAGGCGCAACGGTACGCGGAGGAATTTTCGAAGACTCCCATGGGTTCCTTTGAATTCAATAAAATTGCGAAATGATATATCAACTTGTTCTCCGAAAAATATATTTGATTTTTAGAAGTTGAAATGTCCTTATAAAACGTCGACGATTGCCTATCGCGTAATAAGTGGAATTAGCCTCCTGCTGGTATCCCAATTAAAAACACTTATCTAGCTAACCCAATTAGTTAATCGCGAAGCGGTAATCGAACGATACGACGGGTACGAACGCGAAAGAACGAGCGTTGAAATCGAAACGTATCATTTTGCAATGCATTTTCGCATTAACAAGCAAATGTTCAGCGACGGCAGGCGTAACGATAACATTAACCGCGGTAATTGGCACAATTATCGCGACCGTTACCAATCTCATTAGTTGTTTCTCGGTAGCTGGTACGGGTTTGAACATTAACGCGACAACGTTTATCGCGTTTCGACCGAACCGCCGGGATGCGATACCGGTAATAAGAAACCCCGAACCGATTTTGTAGCCGGATTTCTACTCTTTTCACGGTCTTTGGATAGCGGCGAGGAGTTTTCTTGCGGAACCACCAATATCGCCGGCTCGTGCACGCCGCTGTTTTGCTCTTTACGAATCATTAGCTCGGCTTTCGCGGCTAATTCAAATTGCAATTCCCTGACCGGTCGCTGTTGCTGCTCATCAAAATACCGGACACACGGCGAGCCGCGTCGTGGACCCGGCAAAAAGGTCGAATTAACTTTTACCGCGGGAAAAAGCAAGTTGGGTCATTTTGCGCGCCACATGCCTTCTCTGTGAACCAGTTACAGCCGACCGAGGCTAACCCTTTTTCATCATTTATACCTATAGATGCACGAGACCCATTGGTGGTCGCACTAAAAAGTTATGGTGACTTTATGGACACAGAGAAATTTTTAAATGTTTAAAATTAAATGCTTAATTCCTTTCGAATGAAAGTATAATTTCACCTAAATCCTACCAGATAGCGCCAGCAGAATGCGCCGAGTCCCACTCTGGTGGATCGCAATAGATCCCCCCACCATTTGGATCCACGGCACGGTATCCCCACCAATAAATACCGGTACTCACGCGCGGCACGCTCTCCACACGTGGATCGTGCGTTTCCCTCTTCGTTCGAGCTCGGTTTCTTTCGGATTCGATCGTGAACCGATGCCTACCACGTGTTCCGCTCCATCGAAGCGAGTCCCACGCGTTCGTCCCGTGCGATCCTTTCGAACGGAGAGGGTGGAGGCAGCGATGCCAGAACCGTGGGACGTGGGACAAATTTTTACCCCCTCCGCCGTGGAGGTACATCATCGCGTTCTGCAATTAACGCCAACTTGTTGAACACGCTACCACTATGAGTTGCATTAATTGCACTCGCGTGTACACTATTGTACATATTATTGTATTCGGTACAATTTAATTTGAGTAAAAAAATGAAAAAATAAATGAAATGAAATAAAAGAACAATGATAAATGTTATTGACTTGATTCAGCAATCAAAGGGTTAACAACCCCTCTTTTTTGAAGAGGTCCAATCCAAGCTATTAATTTCTTTCGTACAGGTTCATTTGACTAATGAATGCTGGTAACTCAGGCCTAAGAAGCTTCTTTATATTCAAGAACAGGTGAATGAGTACTCGATTAATCATTCGTGGGGTCAATATCCACCCCTTTACCAAGAAAATTCTTCATAATTATAAATTAACCCTTATTTTTAAACTTCAAATGATTAAATCTTACATTTACTGTCGATGTAAAGAGAAGAATCCATTCAGAACACAAAAGAATCTATTTGCCATCAGACGCTCTTGATGGTAGGGTGTTCTTTTTGGAATCTTTTTTGCAAATAATACCAAGGCATTTTACCGATTTCATCGCACGGTAAAGGGCGGAAAGGGGTACACTGTATAGTCGCAGTCCATAAAACCCTGCACCCAATGTAATTACCCTGGTCGGCGATGTTTTAGAGGATCGAAGGCATAGTGGTGTAATTGCTTCGGAATTACGAAAAATAACGGTTGCTGGGGCTAGATCGTAAAATTGAGCTAACGAGAAGCGCGGCGAGCGGGCGTTCATAGCACGCTATAAAAATGGGGGCCAAGAGTGTGGCTAAACGCGACGGTTATCCACGAGGATGCAGGTTATTATGTGTTTAATTTTCGACCACACACGTGCTGGTTACTTTGAGCTTCCGAGAAGAGCGTGCGAACGGTTCGCGTGATGATTCGTGGAAAAAATAAATTTTAATTTACGCGGAGAACATTACGACGATGTTCATCCCCTTTTGTTCAAGCTATTTTTTGGTAACTTAAGAAATAAAAATGCGAATACAAAAGAACCTACAATTACAGTTGAACTCCGTCATATGGGGGTTAATTAAGATGAAAGAAGTAAGCGTAGCGAAAGAAATTTCAGGAAAAAGCGTTCACTTCCTGCGCTCACACATGTCACTACATAATGGCGTTGATTTCAATTACTTACGAGATCATAGCAGGTGGAAGATTTCGTAAAAACCTAACTGTATTGCATAACAGGACTTCATCTTGAAACGCATCCCGGAAATTGTCCCTTTTAATTCTTACCTGCAGGATGTTTCAGACGTAGTTTTGGCAAGTTACAAAAAAGGATCCCTTCCGGTATTGAGAGCTTCTGTTTTCACACGTTTCTGGTTTCGGTGGTTTGTAAAGAGACGCATCTGCAAGTATAACAATTTTGAACCCTTTATATAAAACTGAAATTTACAAAAAAATATAAATCTAAATTTAAAAATTATAAATATATAAATTGAATAAGAATCCCTGGAATGAACTTAGCTCGCCATCTAATGGAATGCGCTTCAAACTCACAGAAACCACTGCACTTTTAGCAGTTTAACAGATGATCTATACCTACACTAGATAGAAGGAATCACTAACTTACTATCAAGCAGTATAGCAGATACCTACTTAACCGTTCTCGATCATGTTGTCTCGAACAGTTCCTAAAATCACCGTCCTGAATCGTAAAAGGCGCGACAAAAAGAGTGGCAAAAGTGAAGTTTTCAAATAATGTCGGTATTTCAGAACGTGAGACAAGAGATCTCATAAGATGCAGTTCTTTATTAGATGGCAATAGTAGTACTGCTTTCAAAACGCGCAATTACATGAAATTTTTTATTTTTATATGCCTTAAAAAGAACTTTAATTGCTGTAGAAAATAATTGAAAATGTTATTCAAAATCTACACTTATTATACGTATCGCTACACTACTGAACAATAACGTGACTCTTCTAATAACATCTGTCGCAAAGAGTTAAACTATTTGCCATGTGCGTCATTAACCCACCGGACGTTATTAACAGACAATTATTGTCTATAAGAACAGACGTTCGAGCATGCATCGCGACCGGATCTTGCCTTTTTCACGGACAAAACTTTTTCTACTGCGGTCGCATTCTGCCAGGTGTTGAGGCATCCATGGGAATTGTGCTGATAACTCATCACGCATTCTCACGGTGGTCCAACATACGACATCATATGTAAATGCGTAATTATTTCTCGTTGAACATAAATTAACAATCTGCTGGTTACACCTGTGCTCATCAAACTCATCCGCAATTTCATGACTTTATTAAACCATTGAAATTATTTTTCTATTATGGACTATGGGCTTCAATTTTTCTTTGAAAAGGTTCTAAATATTAACATTGAAAAATTCTGCCCATCTACCTTGATCCTACACGAAATTCAAACTCACCCTGTCATCATCTTTCCCCATTAACTCGCCAAAAGTTTCATCAGATCGAATTTCTTTCAGGCCAGAGAAGAGAGCCGAATTGAAAACGGGTCCCTCGCGGACCGTAATAATCGTTCCTTTGATCGATTCCCGGGGAATCGAGGCCGCCACGCGAAGTCACACGAAGGAATTCCAGCAAGTCGAACGTCGTGCTGATAAATACCGAAAAAATCCCAGGTGTAAGTGACACCGGGCCAAGAGGGACGCGTGCCGTTTTCCCACGTGTGCACCCCTCTCGCATGCGTCCCGCGTAATTCCACTTCATTCTCCTTTGCACGTTTCTCTACCCTCCTCCCCATTGGTCTCCTCCATCTTCTTTTCCTCCTCGGTACCACGGTCTCTCCCCACGGCTCTCGAGCACCCTGTAGATGCCTCGTTGAAGATTTCGGCCCCCGTGAGGATCGACGTCACGTCCCATGACGTGTGGATCTCGTGACGTCACGAGCATGTGCCTCGGAACCCCCGTGACGTAAAGAAGGGGAAGTCGCACGGGGTAATGATTTCTTCCTTTCTTTTTTTTTTTTTTTTGTTTCCTTAGGTAAGTCGTCCTGGATGGTCCTGGGGGTCGTGGGATCCAGAAATTTGCAGATGCAACTTTAGACAGATGCAAAGGAGCACGTGTGTTTCTTGACGAGTGTGTGCACGGAGGAAACGTGTGGTATCGAAATATTTAGGGATTTGCGGACGACGGGAAGAATGGCTGAAAGAAGAGAACGAGTTTCTTGTTCCTGTTTCCTTTCATCCTTTCCGTGTCTTTTTCTGGATTTTTAGAGACTGGGTAATAACAGAGCTTTAAGGACGCAAGGGTGTGACAGAAATGTACTAAACGATTTAATAAAGGGTGGCTTTCGGAATTTAATCATCATTTTCTTCGTCCCTTTGCACATTTCTTGAATTAGATAACGAACTAGAAAATTAGTCATGGATTTCGTCATTCTTCGTGTACTAGTTTCTCGAACAATTAAATTGCGGTCAACCACTTACACTAGTTATTGAGGTGTTACCTGGTTCAGCGTGCCCTAGCACTTTTCAAGACTAGGTTAATCTTCCACAGTGTTCAACATACAGCAGCTGTGAGAGCAGACTTGTTATTGTTAAATTTAGGATTATGCAAAATATGTTCGCATGTCCTGCAGTTTGCTTAAGTGGGACATGAATTTGCATCTGAAGACGAGAGGTCTTGTCCTTTGCCTAGTAATTAGAAGGCTCTCTTTACGATGAACCGTTCCCAAAGAAACTCGATAGATAAATTTAAAATGATCTCTATTACCCGTATGTTATTGCAGGGGAATCGTTCGCCATGAGAAACAAATTCCAGGTGTTGCCATCGGTATACACGTGACATGTGCATGATTACAAACGCTATCGTTATGGGAATGTCATAAAATGAATTCCGTCGCACGACATTTTTGTTTCCACTACCTAAAATAATCATGCCTTTGAATAAAACGTTTCGACTTGATATAGGTGACCCAGAAAGCAGTTTGTTCGAATCGAAGCAGGTAGCAGGTGCACGGAAACGCCTTCGATTCGACGCGAAGGTAACACGAAATCACTCGGCGGTAGCATGAAACAAGGAATCTCAACGTTTCTGCCATATGTCGTGGCTAAGATAACGACACGGAGGTGTCTCGGTCTGCTGATCGACGCAAGAAAGCACGACATTGCAGCTGCATGCAAGAGAATCGATACAAGGACTTCAGTGGGTCGTAGAACGGGGCAGGTGACGTTGGTCGCGTGCCAAGCTCCCCTTCTTTAACCGGCAAGAAAAGCATTTTGCGCAAGCCATTGTCCTTCTTCCCTCCTTGCTCATGGCTTGTGGTCCCTTTAACATAGGCACCAAGAATGCCGCCACCCTTCGGCAAACGTCGTGAAGGGATTTCCCTTCGGCTCGGAATAAGAAGCACCGATCTAACCGTGTCGTGCATGTATCTCGTGTGCATCTTGAAATGATACCGAGGTCCCGCTAGGATCGACCTTTGCACGTGGAACGATTTTTTATTCAAGATTTTCAGAGTTGGTGGTAAAATTAATTAACAGAAGAATAATTCATACTGGGTCTATTCTCATTTCTAAATAGACAATAAGGTAGAAAAATAAATAAATAAAGAAGACATTTTAATAGCACCTGAAAATTCCATAATTCATTCCCTGGATGGCAGTATTTTTTAGGTGTATCGAAAATAATTCAAAAATTTATAGCTGCTAAAATATTTCTAGCCTGCTATCGATTTCCTAGCCACCATCTGCTTTCCGCAAATCGATAAATCGGTTTGCAGACAGACGTCTGGCGCGTGCCGTTATTTTTGGCCATCAAAATCGAAGACTGCTTTAAGAAAGGCCCCCTACGATTCGTACTGGACCATTGCATTGTTCAACACCCCAGATACGAACGGAGCACGAGCACATTTGCTCCAGCTGATGCAACGATCTTGCCATCAAGGTGTCCCTTCATTGTATCATCGGTGATTCGAGATCCAAGGCTAATGCATATCAAAAAGAATACCATCAGCACGAGGAAGAGTGGAAAATTTTCTTAGATACCATTTCAACGTAGTGAAATGAGGTCTTTTAAAAATATCTTTTAAGATGACGTCAAACACTTCGACAAAATCCAAGGCGATAATAAACTGTCGTAATTAACATTCTAATTTATCGAACGAAGTCTACTAATTATATGATCTTTAATAAATAATTAGGAGTATAGCAGGATTAACAAATAAAATTTTTCAAAGTATCTTGCACGACATCGAACAAAGTAGAGCATACAAATAGACTAGTAAAAACAGCCAGCTAGCTCAAATCAATAACTTCCGTACCTTTTTTTCCCTGTTCGAGCCTTCTCACGTATAAACCAAAGAGTAGACAATAGCTAGCTAGTTGCGAAACAAGCAGCCGATTTCTTCCTGCTTAATAGCCGGTTTACTCGCTCGAAGTAACTCGTTCGAAGTGACAAATTTCACGGGAGGTAGAGCGTACCCCAACGGGACCTCGAGGGAAAATTTGCATAGAGCTGCGACGGTGACGTGTTTTTCGAGAAACGGGCTACGTCGATCGTCGTTCGAAGGAACCCACCATTGTTAAATCGTCACGTTGCGTCAATGAGAACGGCAGATGCTCGTACGAGCAACCATTCGATCGTGGTCGTCATTGGTTTTAATTGCTATTCTGCCCGTTCCCTTTTCAAACGTACCGAATGACCAGGAAATACGAGGTAAAACCCTTTCTTACCTAGAACCTTCTCTGCGAACTTTCCTTGTTCGAACTGGAATTTTGCAGGATCCGGAAGGATTAGAATTCAAGGACATATTTGAAACGTGATGCAAGTGGGTAATAATAAATTTCAGCTCTGTCCCGTCATAAAAATGACTAAGAAAACCTGTTCTCCTAGAAATAACCGAACGACCCGAAAGTGGGTCCGAAATCTAATAATTAATAACGCAAACTCTCTATCCAGAGAATCGAACACTTCTGGCCGAAAGAGCTGGCCGCATACCTAATAAACAAACACATGCAACCACCGAAGGGACCGTTCCGCATAAATTAAAAGCAAAGAGTCAGCAGTAGTTCCTTTCGAAACTTCATTACGACACCTCGAGGTTGGTGCTCCGTTGGGCAAACAGGGCCAATGCTGAGCTGCCAATTTTCAGTAACAAAAGGGCACACGGGCCCAGGAGGACTGGGACCGATGCCGATATCGGGAGCGAACTACGAGCCGAATACGTCCGAAGAGGTGGACGAAGATGGCCGAGGAGGATGGTGGGAACGCGTGGCGCGGAGTGTTCTCACCAGCTCGCACTCTCTCGAGGCGCCTGGCTGCGAGGAGAGCGCCTCCGTCGAGCAAGGTTGCTCGCTGCCGCTTTGACATCGTGCTTCTGCATCGGCCAGGTCGATGCAGCAACCTGCCGTTCCCTGCTACC